CAATTGTGGCAGTAGCCATCTTGGATTTTAACGTGGCTCCCTAATTTTCTTTAGGAACTTTTCTTACATTTAGACGCAGCCATAAACTAAAATGGAACAAGATCCTTTATTTTTCAAGTTGTCATGGTGACAACATGCACAAATGAATGGACAGTATTTTTGATTCCCCCTTTTGCTCTGCAACGGGGGACAAAACGAGCAACATTTTAACAAACATGACATTACTAACAGCATGTGAACACACCACAGGCAGGCTGCCATGTTTTGGAAGACAAAAAATGTTTAAAGTCAAATTCCACATCTATAATATTCATCCAGTTAGTCTTTAGTTTATTGTTTGTTAAAAACAGCGTGACATTTCTGATCTTACCTAAATATTCAAACTCTTCTTTCAGAGCCATGCCGTTATGAGAAAAACACTGCTGGCAGATCAGAGCATATCTGCAGGAAACAAGGAGATAGTGTTCACATCGATACTAAACATATTTTGTACCGTCAATAAGTTTCGTATAATTTAGATTTTATTGATACTTTCGTCAAAATTCAATTAAAAACCACACTGAAGGGAGCTAACAAAATGGTAAATGGACTGTACTTATGCAGCACCTTTCTATCTTATCAAGACACTCAAAGCTCTTTACAACACAAACTGTGCCCTCATTTACCCATTCATACAGCTCTCTACTAGATCTATACAAAGACTAATCAGAGCTTTAGATCACACCCATACACCAATGGGACACACATCAGAGGCAATGAAGGGTTCAATGTCTTGCCCACGGACACTTCAGCATGTGACTGCTGGTGGAATTGAACTCCTAACCCTCACATTGGTGGAAGACTGCTCTAACAATGCCCTGAGATTACTTCTGTTGTGACTTGGCGCTATATAATTAAACTGAATAGAATTCAATTGAATTAACCACTCAGCCACAGCTGTCGCCATAAGGACATGACTGGAATTATCCACTATTTTTTGTTTGCACCAGTTTTTAATCACTTTATCTGAACTGCTTATTTTTTTTATTTTCCCACTAAGAATAACCCATTGGGGAGTGGTGGTGCAAAGGTTAGAGAAGGTGGGCCTGTGATCGGAAGATCGCCGGTTCACGTCCCGGTACCGACAACATCAAAAATGTGGGTGGGGTAGGTGAAGCACCCACACTTGCCCCCATCTTCATTCGCCCCACTCTGGGCCCATGAGCAAGGTCCTTAACCCCCATCTGCTCCCTAAACAGGTCTCTCTTGAAAATGAGTTCTCGTGGCTCAATGAGACTACCTGGATAAATGAAGGGTAAATAAAAAAAAAAGAAGCACAATGAACATCTCAAGTTGCAACTATCACTGCTACGAGTGAACAAATAGAGCTTAAGATATAAAACAACAGCTTATCTCGTTCAGTGGCCTGCTCACAGTGATCTACAGGTCAATGTTGAGTCAATCACCGCACAGTATTCCTTTTCCAACTCAAACAATTTATTTAGTTTAAATATTCCAGTCCTCTTCTTGTGGAGCTCCAATAAAAAATTTTTTTGCTTCTACAAATTAAGAGCCAACTCCATGCTGAGCTTTCTGAAGAAGATTCTTTACCTGTTTTGTGGTCCATCTCCCACCAGGTACTCAATGACTCTGTCCAACGCCCCTCTGTCTTTGGGCAGAATGGGTCTCGCTAATGGAGGGCCTGGAGGGTGCATACCTGCAGATAAAGTCTATGTGTGAACAAACTCTTCTCTTTAAATGGCATAAGGAATTAAGACATTTGAACAAAATGTGTTTTATATGAAGCTAAAGGGTTCATTTACCTTCACCAGCCTCAAAACACCAAACTATGACTAAGAAAGTGTCTACGGGTGGATAATAAAAATTTCAACAATTAAATGGGAAAATACTCTAAATTTCATGAATATTGAGTAATTTTAATAAAGTGGTACCAAAAACTATCAAAGTGCCAAAAACATTTTAGCAGCAACATACATTTTAAAACCTTAATATTATAGAAATCATCCTTTAAGTTATTCAGAAATATTATGAAATATCAAAATTACTTTTAAATAAATAGTTTTTAAAATTGTTTCACACGTGAGGAAAGATTTTTTTAATGCAAGTGTTTCACACAAAGCTAAAATTTATTGTTCCTTATAATTATTAAGTGTGAAACTGTTTGTGTGTTGTAGCTGACTAAATGATGAAGATTATGATGATGAGGGTCATTCAGGACGTTTCAGATAAAAAAATGCATCTTTCTGTTGTCTGTTGACAACAGCTTATTTTTCCTCAACATTCAGCTGCTGTTCTCAAGTAATTGTTTTCTGGTAAAATGTCATCTAAAAGAGGAGTATTTTTACATTTTATAGCAGGACATGTCCTGATGCATGCTCAATAATCCACGTAGATATATCTAACAAGATGAAATTGGATCCTCTGGACAGGTTTTTCTTTGCTGAAAGAACAAAGGAACTTAGAGACAAAGAGTGTCACAGTCAGAGTTCAAAACGCACTCGCGAAGGGAATGTGGCAAAATCCATCCATCCATTATCTTTACCCGCTTATTCCATTTTGGGTCACGGGGGTCGCTGGTGCCCATGTCCAGCAATCACTGTGCGAGGGGCGGGGTACACCCTGGACGGGTCGCAAGTCCATCACAGGGCCACATAGAGACAAACGAGACAAACAACCATTCACTCTCTCACTCACACCTAGGGACAATTTAGAGTTACCAGTCAGCCTAACATGCATGTTTTTGGACTGTGGGAGGAAACCGGAGTACCCGGAGAAAACCCACGCATGCACGGAGAGAACATGCAAACTCCACCCAGAAAGGCCCCTGGACCGGGGTTTGAACCAGGGACCTGCTCGCTGAGAGGCAGCAGCTCTACCAGTTGCGCCACCGTGCTGCCCATGTGGCAAAATATATTTAACAATAATTTTTATTAATTGTATTGTTTTGTAATCGTTTCAAGACAAACTCATAACTAAAATAAAAATTCAGGTAATTGCAGTTGTAGAGGTTTCACTCCTCTCAAAACTACTCCTGACACCTACCTACACCTGGTATCGGAGAGCAGGGGGTCCTCGGTACAACTCCTTGGAGTCCAGAGGCACTAGGAGTAGATTTCTCTGGTGGTCCTCCTGGAGCTGAGAGAGGAACATGTTCTGTTGGAGGAGGAAAACCAAATAAAAGAACAAATTCATGCCTAAAACAACCCTATAAAATAATTCAGACCAGCCCTGAAGTTCTGATGCATTTGAGTTATTACTTTTTCAGTAATGTCCATTTGATGAGAATAGTGTTAAGTGAGAAGCCCCTAACATTAACTTTACAAACCTGGCATAAAGGTAGAACTTTGGTCTGTCCCCTTACCTACTGGTGTACCCCCTGGTCCCACCACAGGCCGTGCTCCAGGCATGGGAGTCATTACCATCGAAGCTGGGGTGCCCATTGCCATGGGTCTCATTGCAACACCCCTCTGACGAATCTCTGAAAGCAGAAAACAAATCCTCACATCTCTCTGCTGTATTTAGAGACACAAGTTGTTCATATGCTTCATTTCACTGCTCAAGTTATAAACTGTTTTTAAACAATGTGGTAATTGGACGGGAGGACAGTTCTGAATGGTTTTAAAATGTCAAAAATTGATTTGTAACTCATTTTAATGCAAGTAAGTGCCTAAGTTCTGTGTCTGGACTGTTTTATGGTGTTCCCACCAGAACATTGCTGGAGAACTTCAATGCCTATGTGGGTAATGACAGTGTGACCTGGTCCTGGAGGGGCATGATTGGGAGGAACGGCCTCTCTGATCTGACCCCGCGCGATGTTCTATAGTTGGACTTCTGTGCTAGTCATAGTCTGTCCATCACGAACACCATGTTCGAACATAAGGGTGTCCATAAGTGCACTTGGCACCAGGACGCCCTGGGTCGTAGAACGATGATTGACTTCATAGTTGTGTCATCTGATTTGTGGCTGTTTGTTTTGGACACTCGGGTGAAGAGAGGAACTGAGCTGTCAACTGATCACCACTTGGTAGTGAGTTGGATCAGATGGCGGGGGAAGATGCCGAACAGACCCAAATATATAGTGAGGGTTTGCTGAGAACGCCTGGCAGAAGAACCCGTCAGAGAGATCTTCAACTCACACCTCCAGGAGAGCTTTAACCGCATCTCAGCTGAGGCAGAGGACACTGAGTCCTAGTGGGCCATGTAGCTGCCTTGAGCTGTGGCCACAAGGTTGTCTGTGCTTCTCATGGTGGCCATCCATTAACTTGTTGGTGGTGGATACCCCGGGTTAGGGAGGCTGTCAAGCTGAAGGAGTCCTATCGGTGATTGTTGGCCAGTGGGACTCCGAAGGCAGCTAAGGGGTACTGGAGGGCCAAGCGGTCTGCAGCCTTGACTGTTGCTGAGGCAAAAGCTCAGATGTGGGAGGAGTTTGGTGAAACCTTGGATAGAGACTCTCCGTTGGCTCCAAGGAGATTCTGTCAAACCATCGGGCGGCTGAGGAGGGGAAAGCAGCACTTGACTAACATTGTTCAGTGAAGATGGGGTACTGTTGACCTCAACCAGCGATGTTGTCGGGAGGTGGAAGGACTACTTCTCTGACCTCAATCCCACCAGCACATCTTCCATGGAAGAAGCAGAGTCAGGGGACTTTGGGGTTGGTCTGTCCATAACCATGGCTGAGATCGCCAAGGTAGTTAAAAAGCTCTGAGGTGGCAGGGCTCTGGGAGTGGTTGAGATTCACCCTTATTACCTTAAGGCTCTGGATGTTGTGGGGCTGTCTTGGTTGACACACCTTTGAAACACTGCATAGATATCGGGGGCAGTGCCACTGGATTGGCAGACTGGGTTGGTGGTTCTCCTTTTCCAAAAAGAGGACCAGAGGGTGTGCTTCAATTACAAGGGCATCACTCTCCTTAGCCTCCCTGGTAAGGTTTGTTCAAGGATACTGGAGAACCAAGTCCAATCATTTATCGAACCTCAGATCCAGGAGGAACAATCAATCACCGAGGGAGAGGGTTAGGTAAATCCCATTGAGCCTCGAGGACTCATTTACAAGAGAGACCTGATTTCAACAAAGAAAGATGACAACAATGGACAACAGCAACAACAATAAACAGTTATAAAAAAGCATACTACAGTTTTTTTGGGTTTTTTTTTTTAACAAATAGGATGACTAAAAGGAAAAGGTAACAAAACAAAAAACAGCTAGATTCCAAGACAAATGTAGAAAACTAACAACAGAAACATGTCAGCATTGGACCCTGCCAGGTGTCCAACAGATTCTTAAAGACACTTAGAGAGGTCAAGGTCGAGAGCTTCAAATCTTTTTGTAAGATATTCCAGGAAACAGGAGCGGAATAGGAGAAGGCCCTTTTGCCTAGTTCAGTCCTCATTGAGGGAACACTGCAGGTAATAATGTCCTGAGAGCACACTCCGTAGCTGCACTCACGCAGAGACATGTAGGCAGTGAGGAGAAGAGTGGGAGGAGAAGAACCCACAATGTGGGTTCCGTCCTGGCCGTGAAACACTGGATCAGCTCTTTACCCTCACTAGGGTCCTCATGGGGTCATGGGAGTTTGCCCATCCAGTCTACATGTGTTTTGTGGATTTGAAGAAGACATTTGACCATGTTCCTTTGGTACACTGTGGGGGGTGCTGAGTGAGTATGGGATTGGAGACCCGTTGTTACGGGCTGTTCAGTCTTTATACACGTGGTGCGAGAGTTTGGTTTACATTGCCGGTAGTAAGTCGGAGCCCTTCACGGTGGGAGTTGGACTCCTCCAGAGTTGCCCGTTGTCACCGATTCTGTTTATAACTTTTATGGACAGAATTTCTCTGTGCAGCCAGGGGGCGGAGGGATTCCTGTTTGGTGGCCTCAGGATTCCATCTCTGCTCTTTGCAGATGATGTGGTCCTGTTGGCGTCATCGTGCCATGACCTCCAGCTCTCACTGGAGCGGTTTGCAGCAGAGTGTGAAGCGGCTGGGATGAGAATCGACACCTCCAAATCTGAGGCCATGGTCCTCAGTCGGAAAAGGGTGGATTGTTCTCTTCGGGTAGAGGTTCTTCCTCAAGTGGAGGAGTTCAAGTATCTCGGGGCTTTGTTCACGAGTGAGGGAACAATGGAGTGTGAGACTGACAGACGGATTGGTGCAGCATCTGCAGTATCGTGGACTCTGTACCGGTCCATTGTGGTGAAGAGAGAGCTGAGCTGTAAGGCAAAGCTCTCTGTTTACCAGTCAGTCTACGTTCCTACCCTCACCTATGGTCATGAGCTCTGGGTAGTGACTGAATGAATGAGATCATGGATACAGGCAGTTGAAATGAGTTTCCTCCGCAGGTTAGCTGGACTCTCCATTAGAGATAGGGTGAGAAGTTCAGTCATCCGGGAGAGACTCAGCAGAACTACTACTCCACATCGAGAGGAGCCAGTGGAGGTGGTTCGGCCATCTGGTAAGGATACTTCCTGGGCGCCTCACTAGGGAGGTGCTTCAGGCATGTCCAACTGGAAGGAGACCCAGGGGAAGACCCAGGACACGTTTGAGAGACTACGTCTCTCGGTTGGCCTGGGAATGCCATGGAATCCTCCCAGAAGAGCTGGAAGAGGTGGCTGTGGAAAGAGATGTCTGGGTCTCCCTGCTCAAGCTGCTGCCCCAGCGACCCGAGTTCAGAATACAGTAGTCCCTCGTTTATCGAGGAGGATCCGTACCCTGAAGCCCCGCGATAAGTGAAAAACCGAGAAGTAGGAATAATAGTACAAGTAGTAGTTTATTTTATTTTTTATATAGATAAATATTAAGGCATTTTAAACCCTTCCCATACTCTTGCAATAATCTGAACAATGTTTCTAAACTCTTAACGCTCTAAAAGAGCACAGAATGTCATGATTTCAGCTCCCTGCCTTCGGTGCTCTCAGCCACCTGCAATCACTCTTGGCCACGCCCATTCTCCACTCTGCACGCTGAACATCTGATCAGATGTTTAATTGCAGCAGAAAGTTTATCCTGCAGCAGTAATGGGTGCACAAAGATGCAGGACAAAGCTTTTTCTGCAGCTCTGGGCTGCACAAATTTGCAGCAGATGCTAAATAATTTAAAATAATTAATTTTTTTTTTAATTCCATGCCGATCGTGCGGCTCATCCATCAATCAGCCAATTGTGTGTCATGACCAATCTTATTTTGAAAAACCACGATAGAGCGAGTCCGCGATAAACAAACCGCAAAGTAGCGAGGGACTACTGTAAGCGGAACATGGATAGATGAATGGATCAACCTCAGTGAAGTTAAAGGTAAAAATTATGTTGTAAGAGCCACATTGGGCTCATGTTGACACCTGCAGGAGGAAAACTGCCTGCTGCTGCTGCTGAAGGCAGTTTGTGACTAGCTGAACAGCATTTGGGAAGCAGTCTAAACATTCGCACTCCAGGTCTGATTTTTTGCTCAGATCCGATTTTTTTTTTTTTGCGTAGCCATTCATATCATTAAAATGCAACCTCCATCAGACTTCAATGTAAATCATTTACAGTTCTGAAACGGCTCACATGCGCAGAAATATTGATCCCACCACGTCAGTATCGATACGGTCCGACACTAATGTTAGTATCATATGTTGTAGATTCTTAGTCACCCAGGACATGGGAAATTACAAGAACAAAGACAAAGCAACTGGACTTTTGTTCTGTTGCTGAAAATGCGTGATTTTCTACGATTTAAACTGTATGAGGTTGGTATGATGATTATAAATACTTGGATCGATCCACTCACCTCTACCTCACTGACTTAAGAGTTGGATGAAATGTGACATGACCTATCAGGCTGCAGATGCTTAGAAAAAAATTAGTTCTGTATTGAATGTGCATTTCATCCACATATGAAAAAGACCAGAGTTGGATTTGAAGAAATTGGATTTGTCACATTCACACTGTCATGAAAAAAATCTGATATGGGTCGCATAGAGGGCAAAAAAATTAGATTTGAGTCGCTAAGATTACAGTTTGCAGAGTACACAAAAATAACTTTTATCTTCAAAAACTCGCTGTGCAAAACACATTTATACAACTCACTGGTCACACTCAGAGCTCTGTGAGACTCAAACTGAAAATGTGCCTGTTTTCTCACGAATTTGAGTCTCCAGCAGAACCTGATGATGATGTGTTGAAGATGTCAACACCGCTATCACCACACTCAATAACAGGACACACACAGAAGGGAGGTGGAGAAAATGAAAAAGGTTTCCTAAAGTCACTGTACTCAGGATTAGACTATCATTTATTTTAGGGCTGATATATTCCCTACTCAAGAATCAGCTTGAAGTGTTTTATTTTCAAATCACAGCCTCTGAATTGAAACACAAGGTGCCTATAGAGTCCCACCCCTACTGTGGGTGTGTGGTGTACCTTGACCTGGACCAGGAGTCGGAGAACGCACCGGTGTCGACTCCATTTCCTACAACACAACACAGTCTCCACATTTAAACAGATCATTTATACAAAGTCATATAACAAAAAAACAAATCAAGTCTCCGGCACTCACAGCTCTCTTTTTAGCTTCTGGATCAAAGCGTTCCAGGATAAGTTTGGCGTTTTTGTATGTTTCTGTTTCCATCACTTCCTCCAACTAAAAACACACACCAGAAGAAAAATACTTCTTTAGTTCTTCTGTAGTTCATACAGAGTTAATAACACTGTAGACAACGGAATAGATCGAATAAGAACAAACTTACAATCTTTTTCTTTGTGGCTTTTAACTCCTCAAGTTTATCATCTAAAGAGAGGCGGAAACAACTTTGGTTAGTAGTTTTCTGTTCATTTTTATTCTTATATAAAAGTCAAGACACATTAAAACTCTTGAGCAGCAATACACATTAAACACAAAGTTATTGAATCCATACTGTACTTGATACAGTAATCTATAGCAATGGCCCAGACAAGCAAAGGACCTTGTATAACATTTGACCTTGTTTTTTGCCCTTGACCTGTGACATGTGTATGAAGTTTCATTAAATGTTCTTGAGTGGATCAGAAGTTAACGGTGGGACAGAGAACGCTTAAAGGCGTACAAGGAACGACCTTCCCTTGACCATCAGACAGGCCTCTCCCCTGTCTGTTTTTAAATCCCTTCTTAAAACCCATCTCTTCTCCCTGGCCTTTGACACCATCTGAGATGTTGACTTTTAATTACTTTAATTGCTTTTTATTATCTGATTGTATGATTGTTTTATGATGTGTAGTCTGTGTACAACTTGTATTATGTGACTTTTAATAATTTTAATACATTTTATTATCTGACTGTATGATTGTTTAATTATGTATACAGCTCTTTGGTCCTGTGGGTGTTTAAAGTGCTCTATAAATACAGCTGGTATGGTATGGAATAAACGTCAAGGATTTCTATTAAACTAAACAAACATTTAGCACGACTCACAGCATTGGAGCAGGGTTTAACCTGTTTTGCCATGGTGTGGATAGAAAGAGGAATAGAGTAGGGGTGGTCCTGAAGGAGGAGTTGGCAAAGAATGTCATAGAGGTGAAAAGTGTCAGATAGGCTGATGTATCTGAAGGTAGAAGTAGAAGGTCTGATGCTAAACATCGTCAGTGGTTTTACTCCACAGGTTGGATGTGATGAGAAGGAGAAAAGATATATTTTGGAAAGATCTGGATGAAGTGATAGAGTATTCCCAGGGAGGAGAGAGTGGTGATCAGAGAATATCTGAATGGACATGTTGGTGAAGGAAACAGAGAGGATGGGGAAGTGATGGGTAGGTTTGGTGTCAAGAAAAGAAACCAGGAAGGACAGATGGTGGTGGATTTTGCCAAGAGAATAGAAATGAGTAGTCAACACTTATAATCAAAAGAGGGAGGAACATAGAGTGACCTATAAGAGTGGAGGAAGGAGTATGCAGGTCGACTACATTCTGTGGAGAAGAGAAAACCTGAGGGAGATTGGAGACTGTAAGGTTGTGGCAGGGGACAGCGTGGCCAGACAGCATCGAATGGTTGTTTGTAGAATGACTGTTGATGTGAAGAAGAGAAAAAGATTAAAATCAGAGAAGAAAACCAAATGGTGGAAGATGAAGAAGGAAGAATGTTGTGAGAAATTCAGAGAGGAGCTGTTTGTGTGTCATCTGGACAGAGAATGGATGATAAGGCAACCTGGTGGTGGAATAATGAAGTGCAGGAAGAAATTCAAAGAAAGATGTTAGCCAAGAAGAAATATGGCAATTAAAGGACTGAAGAGAGGAAACATGAATATAAGAAGATGCAATGTAGAGCAAAGAGGGAGATGGCAAAGGCAAAGCAGAGGGCATATGATGAGTTGTATGACAGGCTGGACACTAAAAGGGCAAGAAAGACTTGTACCAAGTGTTGATGAGACAGAGGGATCAGGATGGAAAGGATATGCAGCAGTTTAGGCTTGTTAAAGATAGGAATGGGTAATGCTCTAACAAGTGAGGAGAGTGTGGCGGCAAGATGGAAGGAGTATTTTGAGGAGCTAATGAATAAAGAGAATGAAAGAGAAAGAAGAGTACAAATCATAGAAACTGTGGACCAGGAAGTGGAAAAGATTAGCGAGGGTAAAGTCCAGAAAGCTCTGAAAAGAATGAAGAAGGGAAAGGCAGTAGGACCTGATGACATACCAGTGGAGGTTTGGAAATGTCTTGGAGAGATGGCAGTGAGGTTTTTGACTCAAATATTCAATGGCATATATGAGGGTGAGAAAATGCCTGAGGAATGGAGAAGAAGTGTGCTGGTGACTATTTTTAAGAACACGGGTGATGTAGAGAGTTGTAGCAACTACAGGGGAATTAAGTTGATGAGGCACACAATGAAGATCTGGGAGAGAATTGTGGAAGCAAGACTCAGAAAGAACACCACAGATGCCATCTTTGCTTTGAGGATACTGATGGAGAAGTACAGAGAAAGTCAGAAAGAACTTCACTGTGTCTTTTTAAATTAAGAAAAAATAAACATATGGCAAGGTGCCAACGGAGGAGGTGTGGTATTGTATGAGGAAATCTGGAGTGGCAGAGAAGTATGTTAGACTGGTACAGGACATGTATGAGGACAGCAGGACAGTGGTGAGATGTGCTGTAGGAGTGACAGGGGGTGTGCAGGAGTTTGTTAAGACTTAGAGGTGTAGTTAAGAGAGGTGGAGGTATGTACTTGAAAGAAGAGGAATGAAAATAAGCTGTAATAAGATAGAGTATATGTCTGAATGAGAGGGAGGCCGGTGGAACAGTGAGGCTACAAGAAGCAGAGGTCACAAAGGTGCAGAACTTCAAGTACTTGGGGTCCACAGTCCAGGAAAATGGTGAAAGTGGTAAAGAGGTGAAAAAAAAGAGTCCAGGCAGGATGGAGTGGATGGAGAAAAGTTTCACGAGTGACTTGTGACAAAAGGGTGTCAGCAAAGGTCAAAGGAAAAGTTTACAAGACAGTGGTGAGACCAGCTATGTTGTATGATCTGAAGACAGAGACATGGACAAAGAGACAGAACAGGAAGAGGCAGAAATGAAGATGTTGAGGTTCTCCTTAGGAGTGACAAGAATGGATCAGATTAGGAATGAGATCATCAGAGGTACAGCACAGGTTGAACAAGTGGGAGATAAAGTTAGAGAGGCCAGACTGAGATGGTTTGGACATGTCCAGAGGAGGGACAGTGGGTATACTGGTAGAAGAATGTTAGGAATGCAGCTGCCAGGAAAAAGACAAAGAGGAGATATGTGGATGCAGTTAGAGGACATGGAGGTAGATGGAGTGAGGACAGAGGATGCAAAGGACAGAAAGGACAGAGTGAGATGGAGGAGGATGACTCGCTGTGGAGACAACTGAAGAGAGAAAAGCTGAAAGAAGAAGTGAGTCAAAAGTCAGATGTACCATGTCAGGACTTGGAATCAAGCAGCATGATATAAAGGTTTAATTTTGTAATTCTTAATTTTATCTAACACAAGCTTGAGAAGAGGCTTCAGCTCGAACTGATAAGACAACTTACTGTTTCGTTCAGTGCGTTTGGAAAAGAGAAAAATCAATAACTTTCTGATCAACCACACACTGAAAGAGACACAAAGAACAAGACAAAAGATTCATGTGTTCATTATAAACATCATATTTAAACAGTTTCAATTATGAAGCACGTGTCAAAAATTTACTGTTAGACAGTCAATCCCTAAATTAATATTCTAAAATTTAAAAAAAAAGATTTACAAATAGGATAGCAGTAAAAACGATGTTTTCGTGTTTCCATTTGACAGATGAATGACAGCAGCACTCACAGTGCAGGATAGATGAAGAAAGGCAGGGTCATCAGAAGTCTCTGCAGCCATTCATCAGGGAGGTAGAGACAGTACACCACCAGGGAGGTGAGCAGGTAAAACACTGATGAGTACAAAAGAAACCGGCCAACCCAGAGCTGCAAACACATTAAAACAAAATTAGTTTGTTTGTTAATAAAACAAATTTAAAAAACTTTTTTCTGCACTGATTTTACTTTTTGCAGACGCTGATTTTTGGCTCTAAAGTCCTCCAGTTCTTTTATTTCCTGCAGAAGAAAACAGGAAGCAAAAAGTTACTCAAACAGAAAATCAAATGATAAAATTCAAAGAAACTCTTTAGTTAGAGAAATATTTAACTTTTATATAAAATTATAATCTTCCCCATGATGCAGAAAATAGTAAATTAGCTGGATAATTTTGCAGAAAAATTAAACTTGGCTTTTCGAGGTAACAGGTTGCTGAACTCGTATTTAATAGCAAGTACGAGCTGGGAGCGTGCAGCTGCTCAGTGACTCTGTGTTTAAACACGAACATCTGAAACAAACAAGTCAATGGGCTGTTTTATTTATTCCTCCTCTGGGATTTATTCTGAGGCACTGCTTGTTTGCTTTGTGAAAACTACATGAATGCTGTTGGTTTTGTGTCAGACTTCCTCACCAAACTAACACTTAAACAGAAATATTACAAAGAAGGGGAAAATACAGAAAAGTGTTCAAATGTAGGCTACACATGTAAAAGTGGTCAATGGGAAAATATATTTAACAACCTCTGAGTTTATTAATAACAATGCATCTTATTTCTTAGCACCTTTCAAGACACACAAGGACACTTTACAAAATTAAAAATACAGTTAATCACTTTAAATAAAGCAAAGACTAAAAGTTAGGCCTGTCACAATAACAAATTTTGCTGGGCGATTAATTGTCTCAGAAATTATTGTGATAAAAGATAATATTGTTTGAAATCTGATAATAATCAGTAACTGTCAAATTTAAGAAGAAATGTTGGTTAATTTTTGTGTGTAGTACCTTCTTTGACCACTGTATGGTAGTACAAGACTGAACCGAAGGATGGATAGTGAGGAAGCGAGCAGCGTGTCCCTAAGAAAAATGGGAGGGAGGCCCCTTGACATAACATGGGCTGTCTCTCCTTCCTTTATTTTGGTTCTCAAAATGGCAGCTACTCAGTGTGGTTTGAGCTCTTTAGCATAGCATTTTTCACACAAAGCTTTTAATAAAAAAAATAGTAAACAAGTTCTCAGCTTCTTTTTGCAGAGAAAAACAACTTTTTACACGAAGGAACAAGTTTCAACCGTGAATTTTGGAGCTTCAACAAGACGGAGGTTTTTTCCCCAAGGTTGGCCTGTTAGCTTAGCTCTTAGCAGCTTCTCAGTTTAGCTGCTTTTAATGATCCAAAAACACAATTTTGGACGGGTAAAACAAATTTTAAAGAAAAAGGGAGGGGTCAGTGAAGAGCACTGGAGTTGAGACTTGTCATCCAGTGCCTTCAGTAGAAAGAGAGACACGAAGAAACCATAAAGCCGATGAATTAAAATGAGGTTGATCATTTTCATTTATCACGCAATTAATTGATTTATTGTTTATTGCAACAGGCCTACTAAAAGTCAAAGTATTTGATCAGTACTCATTAGTGCCAATGAGTAGAAACTCAGTTTTGTCACCATTTGATTTAAGGAAGTTTGACTTCCAGGTTTTGAGTTCAGCTAAGCAGGAAGTGATGGAGGAGAGTGGAAGTGACAAATCTGATAAGGTGGATTAAAAAAAAAAGTTGGGCGTCGTTTCATCAGTGGTTAATTTGAGCCGGATCCTGCCGGAACTAGATCCGAGAACTCTCTCATTTTGACCTGTTCTGTTCCGGCAACTCTTTCCTCGGATCTGTCAACTCCGCCCCTAAAAGTTCAAAGTCATCGCGCATTTTTATTTTGATTATTTATTTTAAAAAACAAGAGGAGACGTTGCTCTTAGCCCGATGGACCCAGTCTGTGGAGTGGATGTTCCAGCCGCAGCACGCGTGGCACACTAGCTACACCAGTGGTCCCCAAACTACGGCCCGCGGGCCAGATCCGGCCCCCGACCATATTTGGTCCGGCCCCCTGAACAATACCAGAGAGCATTTTTTAGAATTTTTTTCATATATGTGTATTTGTATTTGATAAGAAAGTTGGACTTTTGCAATAAAATGTTTCTTAGTTATGAACTATTTTCATTATTAAGTAATATAATACTATAATACATAAGTTAATAACTATTTCATACACGCATATAACGTAACATTCTGTTCCACCCTTCTGTGGTCTGTGCCCCTATCTGGCAACCCCCAGAAAAAAATTCTAACCCCGCCCCTCGCAAAGAGAGAACGGAATAATGGCGAAAAGATTAGGTAAGAGAAAAATTGATTCAGAATGCAGGGCATTTAACCTGCAGTGGACAAACGATTATTTTTTTGTTCAATGCAAAGAAAAGGCTGTCTGTCTCATCTGTCAAGAGGCGGTGGCAGTATTCAAAGAATATAATCTGCGGCGACACTATGAATCCCGCCACAAAGACACGTATGCTAGCTAGCTTGCCTTCTTATCAGTTTGAGTTGGCCGAGTTACAGAACTGTGATGTTCTGAAAGACGCGTTCAAGCCCAGCGGTCTCATTGACTTCTATGCCGCCCTCCCAAACGACACGTACCCTAACATCAGAAAACACGCAAGGAAGATGTCCACACTTTTTGGCAGCACATATATTTGCGAGCAAACCTTTTCACGCATGAAACTGCTGAAAACTCCAATGAGATCAAGATTGACAGATGAACACCTGCATCAGTGTTTGAGACTGGCAGTGACTAGAATGGAACCTGAGATTCAACTTCTCACCAGCCAGATACAGGCCCACAGTTCACACTGATGAACATACAAAGGTAAGCTCACTTTTCTGACTTGAATGAGTCATTCTGACTATAAAAATATAATCATAATAACCCTCTCTGTCAATACCCCAGAGAGGGTTATTTGGTTATTGTTTATTTCATAAATAGTGTTAT